GGCAGTCAGATTTTATTACTCTTTAATGTGGGGAAGTTTTTCATTTTGTCCACAAACGGTTCAGATCAGCCTGAGATTTCCGACTTCTGTAATCTGTCGGTTGGGTTTTACGACATGGGAGCTGAAGGTCGCAGGACAAACGCTCACAGATGTGTGTTTGTATGGCGGCTCGACAGATAAGGGCAGAAAAGGCCCGTGTACAAAAACCCAGCAGATTTGAATCAGACAGATTTATGTTCTGGTGTCCTTCAGAGCCGTCGGTGCCCGTGTGCGCTGCTTGTGGATGTTCACATTTACTTCCCTGTTCCTCTGTTTTATACCCGGGCACTTCAGGTCTGCAGGGGCTGATTGTTGTGATGTGATTAGTCCCGCTCTAATAAATACACCCGTCTGTCTGACAGCATTTCTCCGAGCCGAGCTGAGCCGTGTGACCACAAGCTAACAAATGATTTTGGCTCAGCGCACCACACACTCTGTGTTTGTGTTGCTGTGTGTACAGTACGTGTCTGCTGATGCTGTTTGCCCCTTGCACTTTCCTAGTTAATTTATTACCTGACTTGCCTTTTGGGACAACATGAGAGACTTTTGTTCCAAGGGCCTCGGCTCCTTTAGAAGGACGAAGTCTGGAAAAATTCCTAAACGTATAATTTATTGCTGAGGTTCTTTGGAAGAGCAGCTTTATGTGCTCACACTTACAGTACAGCAGTAATCATTTTATTATTTTGAGCAAACACAACGGTGTCCGAGTGGTTCCCATAGCAATCACCAGACCAGTGTTTCCCGACCCTGGTCCTCCAGGCACACTGTCCTGCACGTTTTAGGTATTTCCTTGCTTCTGTCCAGCTGATTTCAAGTGACGACTGATTAACAGGCGTTGATGAACTGCAATCAGTTGAATCAGGCACATTAAAGCAAGGAAACCTCTAAAACATGTTGGACCAGGGGTCAGAAACGCTGCACTAGACAATATGGAAACGGAGCGCCTGCTGCCACACCTAACATGTCAACACCTGGTTTAGCTACTTTCTAATTCATCGGATAACCTTTGATACTCAGGAGACGCAGACCTTTCTAACCTTTACAAATGTCTAGATATATTATAGCATCATCATAGTATGTAATATTGTTACTCCAAAGGATTGTTTTTACTGCAGTGTCTATGATTGCAACTGTTCTGGACTTGCATTTTACATGCTGATGTAATATTTAGCTTGTTGGACAGAGTCTCACACTGGACACAGATAGGATTGACCCAAATGCTACAATCTGGAAGCAGAGACCAAAGGAGGAAAGAAGAAAACAGGGATATATCATCTGATGTCGCTCAAACTTCTCTGGAATGTAACTCCAGAGAATTAATTATCTGCTCAAAACCCACTTGGTCATTAATTTTTTCCTTAAAGAAAACCTAAAATATTTAAAAGAAAATACAGCAAACTGAAATTCCTTAGCACAATACTACTTGACATGCTATTGGCTGTGTTTGCTAAGCAGCCAATCTCGGAGTGCCATTTATCCTTCTGGTCGCTGATTGGTTGTACAAGAGCAGAAGTAAGGAAGACTATAGATGCTAACCTCTGAGTTAGCTGGTTAGCTCTCAGTAAGATGGTTTTAGCCGTGCGTATTCATGCATGTCGAGGCGCATTTGTTGTGCAAGCTATTAATTTAAGCAGTTATGAGTTATGTTAGATATTTGTGGCAGCTATATACTCCCATATACCTGATGTTCACTGCTGCACTGTGTTCCTTCAGCAGCTAGATTTAGGTTTGAAATGATGCATTATTTTAATTTAATTTATTTTAATGTTTCTTGATGATAAGGATGACAGTGAGGAGGCTTTCCAGCTTTAATGATTTCTGTACGCACCAAAATCAAACTAACGACAAACGTTTCTGGTAGCATGTAGCTAATGCTAACTTTTGATGCAGTAGAATTAATTTTGACTTTTCTGTTTTACATGAAAGCCGTCAGATCGTTTACGTACTATCGCCGTGTCTACACAACAATGTTAAGAGCAAATGCTTGACATGTTCCACTTTCTTTTTATTGGCTGCTGTAAGAAACGGCTCCTAAATCATGGCTTCTGTCAGAGCAGTTGTTGCTGTGTTGGAATATCCTGTTTTGTGGGGAGGTTGTTGAACCCTTGATGTTATCTCTGGTGCTGCAGGTAGCCTGTAGACCTTTACACTTTGTACCTCTTTTATTGCTACAGGTCATCGACAGCCCTTGATTTTATTGGGTTTTTTTGTAATTTTACTGGAGGTCATTGTTTTGCAACACGTCTTGAGTTATTTTTCTTCCTCTGCGCTGACACACTCCTGCTTCCTTTTCCATTTCTCTTGCTAATGATCCGTACCAGAAGCCAATCTGTCACTGCCGCACCATCAGTCCCTTCCTCTCATTCCCTGTTGTTGTCTCCAACATGATGGCGATAGATTTTTCTCTCCCTCAGGGGATGAAGGCACATTTATTGTGAAAAATAGTAAGGGGCCGACATAAGGTAGGATATTTCACGGTCGAACAAGTATTAAAGATAAATACACTGCAATAAGCTACGCTAAGTGATATTGGCATTGGCGATGCATTAAATTAATCACTTTGTCTGTGTTTCTTTCCTCTTCTTTTTAAATTAAAAATCTCAACTGCATATATTTATAGTTTGTTGTTTGTAATAATGCAGCCCACGTCTTTGAGGCTTGATTCTTTACTCACAACATAATTTATATAAATCCATACCAGAACCTTTTTACTACCTTTGAAAGCAACACTCACACTTTCTTTTCTACATTCATGCAGAGCAACAACTTCCTCTTTATTGAGCGCTTTCATAGTGGAAAATTAAGGAATTTCAAACAATACTTAGAATTTTTTTTAGCAATTTAATAGTTCTTTACAAAAATGTGATTTACGGCTAATTTTTTATTTTTTTTATTTGCAAAAGGTGAAGTTGCCAATATGGTTGCAAATTTTTTGATGAGCTGTAATTATAGAATACTGCTGTGAGTGGTCACTCATATACATGTCTATAATCAATACGTTAATACAATTAGCATAGCTAGCATTAATAACTGTCAGCGTTTCTCCGCTTTTTCTTCCCGAACTGTGAAATTCTCAAAACGATGAAACATGTCGCTGCAGTACGTTCAGCCCTCCTCTTATCTGCTGAAGTGGGTCAGCTCTCCTCATCACTTATATGTACACGACAGTCAGAATGCCGCCAGACCTGCACAGCAGAAAGTAGCAACGTGTCAAAATGACGAGCGCCTGCCAAAAGCTCTGTGTTGTGGCAGTGAGAATGGGGGAAACAAAAAGCTCAAATGTTTCTGCAGACAAAACATTTTCTTTTAGCTTTGCTTCAGACACGTTTTTGTGCTTCATTTGAGTTTGATTTTAAAAATCTCACCAGCAGAGAAAATCGTAAACTTTGAATCGTCTTCATATTCCAAACACGAGATGGAAAATGAACCTCTTATTTAGGAGCCACCCAGCTAATCACTCAGGCATGTTTTTGCTTTTAACGCTTACCCGACGGTATAATCTGCGTGATAAACTCTTGAGATAATGTTGTGTGAGACATCAGGAATCTTGTTTCTGAACCTCTGTACTGACTGCACCAGTTGTACAAGCTGAACCACTGAAAACACTGCCAAAACTGCAGGGCCCTTTAGTTTCCTTTTGTATAGACATTGCTATGCTTATCAGAGAAGATAAGTTCTGTTTTGTTTTACTGCATTTGAAAATAAACCGCAGATGTTGCAGGCTGTGTTGAAGTGACACCAGTAACACATACTGACAGTGTTTATCTGTGAAACACCGTGGAGCGCGCCGCGCCGGCTAATCTGATCGGAGCCGCCTCGGCAGTCCTGCAGGATTGTTGCTGCATTAGGTGATAAATGCACAGGTTCAGCGGCGGACACGGGTAACGTGCCGAGAGTTTTAAGATGCTATCTGTCTCTCCGCGTGTTTGAGCATCGGTTTACGGGAAGCGCAGATCTCCATGGCGATCTGAAATTGATTGCCAGTGGCTCTCCGTGTCCTCTCAGGGCATGCACATAATAAACAAAAGGGGAAAAGGGAGGAAATGATTAGGCCTGTCGCAATCAATCAATTAAATGCTTGCATTTTTTTTAAACTTTATTTTACCGGGATTAAAACCCATGGAGAAATAAAAACGTCTTTCAAGGAAGACCTGGCCAAGAGGCAGCAACGAATGCAGCACAGAAAAAAAACGCAATACAGACAATGTCAAGATATATAAAAAAAACACGCAAAAAAACTTTAAACAAGCACAATAATTTTCATTTATTGTTTTTGTCTTTGTCACAAACTGGACAACAAAAGCCTTCAGTCTGATGTTTGATCCCTTTTTCAAAAGACAGTTGTGTTTAGAGAGTCTTCATAATTATTGATATTTGTTGTTCTTTTAATTTATTTTGGATATTTGTCCTTCAGTTCCAGTGTTAAATGTTTCTTAGAATTTAAAGTTCATTGTAAGAATGTGTTCTTGCGTTGCTATGCCACTAGCATCATATTACATGAAAACCACAATATTATTGCTCATCACAATAACTTCTGGGACAATTTATCACGACAGGCCCACAAATCATAGCATGTTGCACCCAACACAGTAGAGCTGCTGGGTTTTGGTTATGCAAATAGTTTTCTCGTTGCTACGGATGACTGAGCGTCTGCCTCTCCCTGTTCCCTCCTGACTGGAGCTCCTTGGTCTGCCATCAGTGATGAATAATGGGGCACTATAAAATTCTTAAGTAATATTCCAATCAATTGCTTGGATATTCCGAGCAATATTACAGGTCTAAACCTGTAATTTTGCTTTTCTCTTTATCTGGCGTGCGTTTGTTAGCAGAAAGTTGTCCTAGTAACAAATTCCATTCTGTTTTCCTTCTGTTTATGTGTGAAGTCTAAGATGGATAGCTGCTACGTGAGAGATTTTGTTTTCTTACCTTCTCCACCTTTTTTGGGCTTTTTCTCCTGACAGAAAAGCGTGAAGGAAGGAATCCTGTTAAAGCAGACCAGCTCCTTCCAAAGATGGAAGAGGAGGTACTTTAAACTCAGAGGCAGGACGCTCTACTACGCCAAAGACTGCAAGGTACAGAAACGTGTTCCAGTGCCCTGTGCTGCTGTCAAACCGACGCAGCTTAACTCTGCGACTGCATGTGTTAATAAGGAACCACTTGTTTCCTCGTCAGTCGCTGATTTTTGATGAAGTGGACCTGTCGGACGCCAGCGTGGCCGAGACCAGCACCAAGAACATCAACAACAGCTTCACGGTGAGCAAGTCACGGTTTGCAAATGCCTCTGTTTTAAAAGACCCTCAAATGTAGACCTGGGCTTCAGGTTTCAGCTCTTTTTGATTCAGAAATCACAAAGTGTCATTTCAAGATAGATGTGTTCGATCTGTTTGATCATAGGATTATTATTTTATAATTTTTCTTTTTAACAAAGTAACAGAGTTACAACTAGTTATTTGGTTAAAAGTAATCTTAATTTGTTTGAACTAATATTGCCAAATGTATTTAAAATCTGCATGCAGTTTATTCACATATTTTGGTTTAAAAAAAAAAGCAGCACATGTGATTTTAACTCTTTCAAACTTAAACTTCACTGTACATTTCATCAGTGTTTCCTTCACTGTAATCAAACTATAAAGTGTGCTGTGGAAATAAATTAATTTCCAAGCACTGTCATGTCAAATCACTCCAGGTTTATTTGCATATTGTGCACAGTATAGAGAGTTTACTAGACATTCAATAATAAAGACGTTCTGAATGAAAAATCAGAATCAACACGTAGGTTTTTATACCAGGGATAAGGATCCAAAACATGGAGAGTCCCAGCCTTGTATGTGTAACCCAAACAGGTCACAAATGCTTCACAAGCATTTCATCTGACATGATCAGCAGATGTTATAATAATTTTTCACCACACGTGTAAAAATGCTTCCACTATGTTTTGATATGACTCATTGGTAATTTGACATACTTTCTTTGTGGCTCATAGTGTGAGAATAAATCTGTTGGGACATGTTCTGCTTAGTAAACAAAGGGCTTTTTCTCTATTGTTGTTACAGTTAATAACATAACATATAATATAATAAGTACATATTAACAGCCAGACACAAAAGAAGCGGCTGCGACCAATAAATTCTTTGTTTCACTGCACTGTGTTTAATAGGGGAAAGTGAGAACAGACACTGATTTGTGACAACAAAACCACTAGTTACTCATTTATTTAATGTTATAGGCCAACAAAGAAGCACCAATGCGTTTTGTTTAGTTTCCAGTCTTTGTCTCATTTAACGTTTTAACCTATCAATGCTAAATTGTATTTCTCTCGAACTAAAATGAACAGAGTTCATAAATTGCTTTTCTAGCCTTCCTGCTGTCAGCCACCATTAGTCATTATCAGAGGCAACAACCCACAGTGATGGTGTGAAGTCACTGGGAAGCTAGTTTTTATTCATTTCAAACGTAAACAACATCAACATCTTTTACAGTTTGCCTAGCTAGGTACCATCAGATCTGCATTTAAATAGTTAAATAAGATTCAGTATTTTTCCCCTACATGGAGCTAATAGCAGCCAAGGTAAATGTGGGGGATGCTGCAACATATTTGATTCTCTAAACTTCCCATTTATTCTGAAGATTAAGCCATAATTTTGCAAAAGGAACTCCTTTAATGAGTGTTTACTGAGGTAAAGTGGGAAATAAAGTAACTTTATTTCCTGTATCTGTAGGAGTTTGGAAGATTGTCGGTACATGTTGCATGTTTCTAATCGAGAGGCTCTCACTTGTATGGTGTTGGCACACCTTTTGGTAATTTTTCTGTTTTGCCATCAGAAGTTCAAAATTATAATTTTTTTAAATACACGGTGAGACATTCATCAGACTGAGCTGTATTTAACTTTAAAGTACTAAACGCATAGAGCTTGGAAATCAGCGAACTTGGTTTATTTGACCAATTTTTAACTCTGAAATAAACACAAATACGTCAGATTTGTTTTAGTAAAAATGTGTTCATCTCAGAACGCGCCTCTGTCCTTCACAGGTGATCACCCCGTTTCGCAAACTTATGCTTTGTGCTGAAAGCAGGAAGGAAATGGAGGACTGGATCACGGCTCTTAAATCCGTTCAGAAATGGGAAACCTATGAAGTGAGCGTCTCTTAATCACTCCGCTTTCCTTATAGACTAACATCAACACCATCCTCTTTGTCTTAACTTTGCCTTCCGTCTTTTTCACCGCTGTCTTCCGTATCAAAGTTCCTGGATCAACTTTGTAAGATTTCCTGCAGTCTTTATAGTGTGTGTTTGACACAAAAATGTCTTCTGCTTGGCACAGGCCAGCCAGTTCAACATGGAGCATTTCTCTGGGATGCACAACTGGTACGCTTGCTCACACGCCAGACCCACCTTCTGCAACGTCTGCAAGGAAGCGCTGCCGGGCGTCACCTCCCACGGCCTGTCCTGTGAAGGTACACACACACACACACACACACACACGCACACCCCCGCCCACACACACACACATACACACATTTTAGAAGTAGTAGCTGGATTTAGCGTCTGTACACAGACCAACTGGGACCTGAAGTTGTCTTTTTTTCTCTCTGTTAGCTGTAAGTGCCTCCAATAAAGTTTATTTGCGTTGCACCAACATGGCAGTTCAAAGTGCTTTATGTCATAAAAACACACAAAAAAAGTCACAAAACATCACGCAGTCACCAGATTGAGAACAAATATTACGTTTTATCGAGTGCCGTCATCAAAAGCTTCAATACACATTATGTATCCTTTATTAATGACTCTGAACTGCTGGGTTTTTAGTCCTGATTTAAAAGAGCTCAGTGTTTCGGATGTTTTGCAGTTTTCCAGAAGTTTGTTCCAGATTTGTGGTGCATAGAAGCTGAAGCTTTGAGCTAGTTTTGTACATCTTACGATTTATTTAAAAATTATGTCGTATTAAACGAAGCATTTTTTTTTCTTCTTGGTGTTCAGCGTTGACCAAGAATTCTAACTCTTTCCTTCAAAGCAGATTTGACTAAGTGATAGTTGCACTTCACCATCATATCAAACTGGGAAATCTGAACTCATATAATGTCTTGAGTTCAGGTTCCAATAAACACGTTTTATTACTGTTCAGGTTAAAATTTCTCCAAGAACAATCCAGAATCCTGCACAAATCCAAGGCAGCAAACAATAAAATTACCAACCTGCAGTTATCAGCTTAGCATTCAAAGCTTGAAGAAGACTCAAACTAGATTGTCAAGTCCCACATCATAAATGATTCAACATAAAATGCCAGTGGTTGATTTCTGCAGCTTCTCCTTTTATACTTATACGAGCTGGGCAAAAAAGCTTAAACAGACTAAAAAAAACTGGATGTTGCATATGTTGCCTTGCAAAAATATTCACACTCTTTTAAACTTTTAATTTGTCAATTTATATAATTGGGATTTTATTTGGTTGTCCAACACAAAGAAAGAAGTACACACACTGCAAAAACACAAAGTCCTGCTAAGTATTTTTGGTCTAGCTTCTGGTGCAACTATTTTTGAAATAAGGCAACATTAACTTTTCAGCAAGACATCGGAGCTTGTTAAGTGAAAAATATCTTACAAATGCCAAAAAGTACTAGTTACACTGGCAGATTATTTTATTTGTATCAAAGAAAAAACATCTTGTTATAAATTAAATGATATGCCAGTGGAACTAAGTCTTTTTATGGATTTTAAAGAAGTGTTATTGTGAGTTAGTTTGGTCTTATTTCAAGTCTATTAAGATATTTGCTCGAGAAACCAGACCACAACCACTTTGTGTCTTTGCTGTGTAAATGTGTCGTTGGGGGGAAACACACATAGTTTTAATGTTATGTGCAAATTTATTCTTTTACAGATAAAAATCTGAAACCTTTCACGTGCCACTTGTAAATAAAACCTTAGAAGCCTTTAGAATCCACCTAAAAAGTGAATAGTGTGTGTAATTTAAATCCAGTGTTTCTGCGAAGGCCTCAGAGGTTTGTTAGAGAACACGAGTGAACAACCCGAAACACGAAGAGCGACGAACGCAGCACACAGGTCAGCGATGACGTTTGAAGTTATAAAGTTCAGTCGTAAAATAACACCCCAGGCTTTTGAAGACTACCCAATCCATCACTGTGCTAGAAGAGCATTAATCAGGGAAGCAGCCAAGCGACCCGCTGCAGAAATCCACTGCTGTGGATGGACGACGCCGTCAAGAGAACAACTGCTGCTTGACCTTTTTTGGAAGATTAACGACAAGAAAACCCATAATAAGAAGTTATGTTGCAGTTTAGCTGAAACCACACAGCTGACGTCAACAAAGATCAAATTTTACAGTAATATGTAAAACATTTTGTCTGGCAGGAAACTAGTGCTGCGTATCAACCTGAAGACACCAACACTATCGCTGCAAAAACACAAAATCTCACATCACTATTTCCTTTTGTCTAGATTTTGTTGTAAATATCTTCGTCCACTCAAAACCAGATAGCAAGAACATTTTTAGCAAGAAATAAGAGATTGTTTTAAGTTAATAATTCCTTAATATTGATAAAGTACCAGTTCCACTGACACATTATTTCACTTGTAACGTCGAAAAAATATTTTGTTGAAAGTAAAATCTTAGTACTTTTTAAAACCATTATTAAGCTTTTACATCTTGTTGAAAAGTTACTTGTAAGTTAGTTTTGTCTTATTCACTAAGTTATTTGTACTGTATATTAGATCAAAAATACTTACTAAGATTTTGTGTTTTACTGTAAAACACGGTGGTGGCAGCATCATGATTGAAGTTTCATTTAAAGTCATTTAAAAACTCCTGAATCCACCTGAGAATCTAAAGCGAGATTTGTAAATTGCCATTCCTAGATATCTCTAAACTATTTAACAGCCATTTATTGCTCGTTTTTCACTTCAGAATTATGGTCCAATTTGAGTCGGTTCAAAGCGTTTAGTTAAAATACGACAAAATGTGGAAAAATTACATTCATATTCTTGCGAGATGCTTGACAGACAAACCTCAGGACAAGCTAGAGTTGAAACGAAAACTTTACAAATAACTGTTTTTCTTTTGCAGTTTGCAAATTCAAGGCTCACAAGCGCTGCGCTGTTCGCTCCACCAACAACTGCAAGTGGACCACGCTGGCTTCCATAGGAAACGAGATCATTGAGGATGAGGACGGGGTGAGACATTCATTCTACTCCTCATAAAAGTCTACTTTTTTTCTCTGAATAAAGACTCCGAGAAACAGGCCGTTCCACTTCATCAAAGTGCTTTCATCACGTACCAATCCAGTGGTGTTGCTGTGTTTCCTGTGTCTATTCTCAGGTGTCCATGCCACACCAGTGGCTGGAAGGCAACCTGCCCGTCAGCGCTAAATGCGTGGTGTGTGACAAGAACTGTGGCAGCGTGCGGCGGCTGCAGGACTGGCGCTGCCTCTGGTGCAAGGCCATCGTGAGTGGGATTGATCTCAGCCTCCTTCCTGTCAAAAACTGTCATTTCACATCAGCGTCGTTTGTTTAGAGCCGAAAGTTTTTTTTTTTTTTGAGAGACGTTTAAATGAAACGTCATCAGGGATAAAGATGAAATTGGAGCCATAGGGAGTTTCCGGTTCGGGCTTACCACAGCATCAGAGCTTCTTATTGTTTTGTTGTTTTTCCCTTTTGATGCAAGACTTTAAAAATGTTGGATATGAACTCGTTACAGAGTGTTCTGTGCAGACGGTACGTTCTTCACGTCGTCTTCAAGGCAAAGTGTCAACACCTTTCACGAGGAAATGTAACAGAATGCGGCAAAGCAGCTTCCAATATATGTCTTTCTACATAAAGACATCTATAAAGTGCCTCAGCAAAATTCAAAAGATGAAAACTATCGCTGTTCCTAAATCCATTTTATTTTTAGTTGGCTCTTTTAATGGACTTTTAATGCAGCTTTGCATTTAAAGTGTCATTATTTGCCAAATGATGCGACATGACAACAGTGGTAAGACTCTTTCATCTTCATCGCAGGTTAAATAAGACTGACGTGTCGTGTCAGTCTTATTCACACCCCATCTAATAAAGTGTTACCAAATGGGTTTATTAGTAATGCCAACGTGAGATATGTCTGAATTTATGAAGCAAAAGAGTGAAAATGGTCAGAAGACAAAACTACAGCAGATAATTTGTGGGTTACTAAGTATTTTAGCGATTGATTACTCTACAGCTGCTTTGTTCATGTAAACATTTTAAAATCAGTCAGTTGTACTTTATTGATCCCAAAGAAAAATTGCATTACATTTAAGTACAGCCCATCCAAAGACAGACGAGCAGAAACATGTGCAGACGGGCGCCATCTTGGAACTCTGGAGGGGAAACGTTTTGTCTGAATTGTGTTGTAAGAAAAGGAAAAACCTGGATAAATACATGCAGATCTGACTACTGAGCTGCCGTACTCATGTTCAGCAGATCCTACAGAGCGCCACACTTCAACTTTCCTCCACTCCCACTTACCACAGGCTTCTTATGGAGTACACAAAGTCCAATCCTGAGCACATAAAAACACAGAGAGGCACCAGCACAAATGATCCAGAGTGGCATTTGTAAAGGTTACAGAACTGGCATTTGGTGGGTTTCAGTGGGATGTAACGACCTTTCTACCACCACTGAAATCTACAATTACTTTGTCCACCAAATCACTGTGTGTGTGTGTGTGTGTACTTTCAGGTGCATAACAGCTGTAAAGAACAAATGGGGAAGGTGTGTCCCCTGGGCCAATGTCGAGTCTCAATCATCCCACCCACTGCACTTAACAGCATAGACTCAGATGGTGAGACAGCACACCCACACGCCGACGCCCATGCGCACACACTCGAGCGCGCGCAGCATACTTTTCTATGTTCTGTGGAACCGACAGAAAAGAGAAAAAGCCGAGGAATCTCACCGGTCCTGTCTCAATACTGGGAACTGGTTGATATTAAGAGCCGCGGCATGAAGAATGACTTGATTATATTCTCTAAATATCTGCAGTAGGAGCTGAAAATACCAACAAAGTTATTTTTCTTTCTGAATTTCTTCTTGTTATTTTCAAATACAGCTGAAAGATTTGTGTCTCTTCACCACAGCAGTTCTGTAGATCCAGTGAAACCTTCTTGTTTAAGGGGCATAACATGTGGAAATACGTCTTTCTAAAAATAAACATTTTTTTAGATTATTTGAACAGGAAAACTGTCTGATTTTTCATGTCATTTCTGAACTCATTGTTATTACACAGTTATTTAGTAGCAGAGGCGTCGTCACACCAAGTGTGTTAGAGGAGAACAGAAACAAGTTAGAGTCGACATTTTAAGCTTTCTTTACATCTTAAAGGAGTTACAGGTACTGTTAGCTTGCTTAGCATTGATAGCATAGAAAATAAACATCAGTCTCTGTGTTTTCTGTATTATTATTTTCCAAAAAACTTGTAACATGTCCTATTTCCATATTTTTAATGCAAATAGACAGGGGCCTACAGTATAAAACAGACAGGCGTGGCCTGAAAATAGCTAGAGTTGATTAAGTTTTTTCAGTAGCAGCGTTCACACTGAAGATTGTTGCCAGTGCAGCCTCAGTAGACAAACACTGACTACAAGAAAGGCAAGATTTGTAACTTTGCGGTTGGTCACTAATCGATCATTTAACAATCGGCTGATTTCTTGATGCATCCACTTCAGATATTTTTCAGACTCGTCAATTCAGAGTGTAGCTGTTTTTATGTTACTTTTTTAAATTGCATTTCCATTCCATGCCGTTAGGTTTCTGGAAGGCCACCTCTGGATCTTGTGCCAGCCCTCTCCTTGTCCTGGTGAACTCCAAGAGCGGCGACAACCAGGGGGTGAAGTTCCTCCGCAAGTTCAAGCAGCTTCTGAACCCGGCTCAAGTCTTCGACCTGATGAACGGAGGACCAGAGCTCGGGTACGTCCTGTTTTTGATGAAACATCGATTCTCTGACCTTACAACACCCATCCACTTTCCGCGGTGATCGTCTCTTCTGGCTCGCAGGCTGCGGCTCTTCCAGAAGTTTGTGACGTTTCGTATTCTGGTGTGCGGTGGAGACGGCAGCGTGGGCTGGGTGCTGTCGGAGCTCGACAAGCTCAACCTGCATAAACAGGTGAGAACATGGATGAGAAACACAGTCAAGAGTGGACATCCACTCATGACAAGATGTACAAACAGAAAAAAAAGAAAAAATGTATGTTTAATATCTGTTTAAAGAATGTTTTTTTTTAAATAAAGTGTTTATAAAATATTCATATTCATTGAATATGACTTTAAGTTTCTGAGTTTCTGCAAAGGCACTGGCTATTTCCACTAATCACTGTGGCAGTAACGCCGCCTCACATCTGCACCGACAGTTTTAATTCCAGATCAGTGTTCTGTTAATAACCAAGTAGCCTGTGAAATGAGATTTGATCCACCTTCGCCGAGCATGACCTGACGTCTGTCCACCATCGACTGATTTCACGGCGTCTCCGCAGTGCCAGCTCGGAGTCCTTCCCCTGGGAACGGGGAACGACCTGGCGCGCGTTCTGGGCTGGGGCGGCCTGTGCGACGACGACGCCCAGCTGCTGCAGATCCTGGAGAAGCTGGAGAGAGCCACCACCAAGATGCTGGACCGGTAAGAACCTGGAGAGAAGCGGTTTCAGCAGAGTTCAGTGTCAGCTTATGCACTTGTGACTTATTGCTGCCAAATGAAACAGCTAAAAGAAAGGCTTTTAGCTGGAATCTGAGTTTCTGATGGGGAGTTCAAAGCTGTCTGAAGACTAAAGCTGTTAAAAATTTCAGAAGAAAATTTGTTTTCACTTTATTTCAAAAACAATCACCAAGGCCGGAGCAAAGTAAATAATTAAACACCTGAGCCAAAAATAACACTTTTGTTATTTCCTTGCTGAAATAACAAAAATGGTAAAAACAATTCCTAAAGAAAACACAAACCTAAATGAGGAGAGAGATCCAGTAAGAAAAGAAACATTTTTGGTGCAGACAGAGCAACTGCATAGTGTAGAAATCAGGGTATTAATATTATCTTTAATACTTTGTTTAGTACAGTTGTGCAAGATTAAAAAGCTGAAATAATGCCACTTCAGGATTTTGGGGTAAAACACATCGACACACAAAGTTGTTTTCATCTTAACTGCTAAATGTTTTGGACAGTTTTGGCTTAATTCCTGCTCTAAATATGTTATGTATATATTAATCCAATTTTCGATTACAGTTGCCAATTATTGGCATTTAATCTGATTAGTTGTTTCAGCCCTAGATTAAACTGTTTCTGTTTTAGCAGATATCCCGGTTCTGAAATTCAATGTTTTTGCTTGTTTGTTTGTTTTATTTTCCTTCTGAACCTGTTGCTGAAAATGTGTTTTAAAAATAAGCCGCCCTGCCTCGTCCTCTAAAGACGGGACACACCGGACCCAGTAGCGACAGCAGGTTTCCAGTGAGCTTTGTCTGCAAAGAAAATGAAATGTTTTTCCGCTCCAAGTTTAAACCGCTGTTGAGTTTTTCTTGATCTCCTGTCAGCCGCTTTCAAATCCCCCCACCGCCTCCCTCTGCCTCCCGCCTGATCAGCCGCTGATAAAGTGTTTTATGTTGGGCCTGTCGCCCATGTGTGTGTTTTCAGATGGAGCGTGATGACATACGAGGTGCCCCCCACCAATAAACACACGCCCACCGTGAAGGAAGACGACAGCCACGAGGCTCCTCTGCAGGTAAATCAGCCCGCAGCACTTTGAGGAGGCTGTCTGCCGTCGACAGATAGCATCCATGAAAACCGGGGCTTATGAAAAGCTCTGAGGCATTGTTTTGGAAAACAACTGCTGGGAGTAGCGAAGGGAAGCCGAGGCAATCAGAGCCAAACCTCAGGGAATGGCCGCGGTGTTGACGAAGGGCAGCTGAGTGTTTGCAATGGAAGCTGAACTTTGACACTGCGCTGCTAATATGATGGAGGCGGTTAATGACACCATTCATCATTTGCTCTGTTTGAGAAAAGCAATTATAATTTGGCCACAAACACCCTTAAAAATCATACTTTATTGCAGCAGCTTAATCTCACTTTTTTTTTTTCTTTTAGTGGAGATAATTTTTTTTTCCTGTGTGCCTTCTGCAGCTGATCATACCTCTGTGAACTTTAATTAGTAATCCACGACTACTCTGGGGTCTAAACTTTCGTAGCTCAGAGCATCTGGCAGCGAGGCTGAATGAAGGCCGCTAATTTACAGCGAGGGATGTTAATGTATGCAAAGCTCTCCGTTAGGGAACTCCTGCGAAAATTGTCTTCTTAGAGACCCAGAGGTTTTACGATAACAGGGTGTCCGCACATCCTTGAAAAGTCTTAGATTCAGATACTTAAAATTAATTTCTGTAAATGTCAGAAATTTATTACAATTTTAAAACTCAGACATCGTCACTGTGTTTTGTTACTGTTAACCATCTGCTTAATATACCTTTCCACCTATCTAGCTAGTTAGCTAGCTGGTTAGCGGGGTTGTTGGCAGATGGCTACCATCTGAGCTTTTTGGATTTAGGGCCTGATGTTATCACACCAGAGATAAAGCTCTGCAGACAACATGATTTCTGATCCAGTTAAACCAAAATCCATCCTTTCCTGGGATTTCTTTTCTTTTTACAATCAGGAAATCCCAAAGAAAAACAAACAAACAAAAACAGTCTTGTATGTACCTCTGTGGTTTACCAGTGGCTTCCTTTATTCATGCTTCAGGTCCACATCACTCAGTATGCAGACTCCGTCGCCTGCCACCTGGCCAAGATCCTGGACTCTGACAAGCACAGCGACGTGATCTCCTCCGCCAAGTACGTGCCACGAATTCCTGCATTAAAACAGAAAGCAGGGACACGGCTGAAGTGTAGGTGGGAGGAGGAAGGAAGGCGTGGAAGGATGAGCGTAAGCTGTACAACCAGGGGAAAGAGAGTCAGTGATGATGTGAAAGAGTCTTCACAAGCGAATGTCCGGTCAGCAGGTATCGATTTCCTGCTCTGATCTTGTTTAAAGTGCAAACGTGCATTTAAAAGCGTGAGTGTGTGCACATGTCTGAGTGGATGAGAGGGATGAAGCGTTATTTAGGGCTCGGCTGAATGCATTAGTGCACAGCAGACTTAGCTTAGCCGTCATTACGCTGCACTTTTCTCCACCGTTTGTTTTGTTGCATTAAACTGATGGAAACGGTTCTGACCTGCTTCATGTTGGAAACACAGAAAAGTATTTTGCACCGTAAAACAACAAAATCTTACCAAATTGCTACTAATTTCTAGTACAGTTGAAATAAGACAAAACTAACTAAGACGTAAAGATTTGACCCAAGTCATTCATTTAGAAAAACTTATCACTGATACCGACCAAATGTATGTAAACTTTTGAATTCGAGGAAAGCTACAAAAAATAATAATAATAAAAATGTCTGCTGATGAGGAAGACAAGCTGCTTTCAGACTTGAAAATGTTTGTTTCTCTTTTAGGTAAAATTGGCATCATTCTGCTTTTTCACTCCCTGGTATTAATTTTAAAACGTACACAAATCCCAAATCCAATCAAGGCAAAACAAAACAAAAAGCAACAAAGAGCAGGAGGTTTAACTCGCTGAAGATGATTTTATCTTTACTAAGTGCAGAGTGAGTTTGGAGAAAGTTCCCTGCTGACTCGCCCAGCAGCGAAGTACCAGATGTGAGTAAACAGTGACTCTGTAGGCAGCAGCAGATCGTGAATATTAACCCCCCAGCGTCATGAGTCATGAAATCTTCAGCGTGTCAGTCATCAGGCATCATCTGCTTGATGCCGAGCACTAAGCCGGCTCTCGCCCGTGTCGGCAGGTTCCTGTGTGGGACGGTGAACGATTTTGTGGCAGAGGTGGGGAAGGCGTACGAGAGAGCCACAGAGAACAAGGAGGAGGCAGATGCCATGGCAAAGAAGGTAAAGTTTGTTTCATTGTGTGTGTGGTGTGTGTGTTATGTAAGCACTTGTATAACACCAACACCGGCCCCGTGAGCTGATGGAGGTGTGAGTGTTTAGAATGGAGTGACTACAAAACGCTGCACAGCTTCAAGTTTTATGACTTCTTCATGTGTGGGAGTCATTTTGGAGAATTATGTGTGTCATTTCTAGTCCAGCATATGGCATATATTGTTACATCTGCAATTAAAAAGTGTAAAACAATGCAAATTTACAATTCAAATATGATAATATAATCATTATTGCAGTTTTATAGTTCAAACATTGGGAGGATGAACAGAGGAACTGATCTGTTTTAGCTGTTTCTTCAGCTAAAATGCTTCAGTAGAAATAGAGGGAAGAATAATTTCACCCAGTATTGATCTCCCATTTTTTATGCAGTCTGCATCCTTAAAATGTCTTAAATCCATGTGTCTGAAATTAAGGCTTTAAAATATCTTACATTCATTAAACACTTTAATTAACTTTAATGTCTTAAATCGTTTTACATTTAAGGTCATGTAAATTGGCCTTAAATGTGTTAATGTCTTAAATTTTGTTATTTTATGTAGTTTTTTCTTGTGGATCTTTCCTGTCAGGCAAAAATAATTGCGTTTGAGTATTTTAAATGGTGATGTTTGTTATAAGCACATCATAAAGGGTAACATTCACATCTGATTTTAAAAAAACAAACACTTTTAAAATGTGAGCACATTTGCTTCCATTTCCTCACTATTTTATATAACTATTATCTCTTTCTGAAAACCCGACTGTTGGTTTGCAATCAAAGAATCAAACAAAGTCCAGAAATTGTAGAGCTCACATTTGTTTTTTCTTTTTCTTAAACATTTCCTTCCAATTTACAGCACTACATGTTCACACAAGAGGGAGAGTCTCTCTGATCTAAAACACCTGCCTTTAAAGCATTGGCTTTTCCTAATTAAGGGGTGGAGTCAAGATTTACAAACAGAAAAAAAAAACATTTGTATTAAACTATATTCCTAGAAAGAAATTTACATTTCAACTGACAACTTCAAAACTAAAACTAAAACAATCTGGGCCCCAACAAAATCCGAAAACTTCTCCCTTCCCTCTGGAACAATAGATTCTGAGGTTGATTGAAAACACCTTGTCAGCATTGCTCATGGGCGCGCTTCCATGTCAACACATGACCTCAAAGAGAAGAAAAAATGATTAAAGCAAAACATCAAACAAAGCAAGTTGCTTCCTCCAATCAAAATACACTTAATAAATAAATTGGAATATAGAAGCACAAATGCGTCACCTGTTAGTGTCTTGTTACTTGTGTTAAAAGGAAAAATTTGCAAAATGCAAATACATTAATGGAATCTATCTTGTGTTTGGATTGTATTGGTATCCAAACAGCGATCTGACCTTATTTGAATGATTCATAAATTAGATGGGTGCAGCTACTTCATAAACAAATCTCTTCCAGTCTTAATCTCAGTCATCAGCCAGGCTCAGTTTGTAGGAAGTGAGCTGCTTCTAATGGTGCAGACAGTCTTAGAGCTGCTGTGTCACCAGAGTTAATGGAGCAAACTGCAAGGAGGGAATGTCTTTTACAAACATCCGTCTTTTAACCCTGGTCACATCGTATTTTCATTTCCAAAGCTTTTGTGCATTACTAGTGTGCGCTTTAATCCTCAAAGCTGTTTTATTTTCTCTTTGTGTGACTGCAAAGTGGCCTTTGAAGTCAGTCTAAACAATAGAAATACTTCTGTCCAATCCTTCCTCTCTGTTTATCTCCCAGTGCGCACTGCTGAACGAGAAACTGGATTCGCTGGTGAAGGCCTTGAGCGAGGAAGCAGAAGCTCAGGTACGGACAGTGCATCAGTGACGATCAAAGGAAATGGGAAAAACAAGCAGAATTGTTGGATTTTATATAGAAAAATCTCCCCCGCCTCGCAAAGTAGGCCTGTTTGTCATCTATGATGTATGTTTCTGCAAGAATAATGTGAGGGACTACTGCAGAGAAATATCACAAATTATTTTTATTCTGAGCAATATTTAGAATAAACACAAGTTGTTGTTTTTTGGGGGGATTTGTTCTCTTTAGTTTTTGTTTTCCGGTTGTTTGGTCAGATTAAATGACTGCACTAATGTACGCTTCTCTGTTCTTTTAACACAATATTCGCAGAATGATTTGTAAAGTTATTCGTACCACTATAATATATTTCAATTATTAAGCTAAAGACCTCTATGTATTTCATTGGGATTATTTTTAGAGGACCGCAGGCTGAATCCAAATAGATATCTGTGAATCTTACAAAGTCTTTAAAAAGTCCTAGATTTGTGTGTCTGAAATTGAGGCCTTAAAATGTCTGAAATTATCTTAGAAAAATGTAAGTTGGCCTTAAATACGTTAATCACAAGTCTTAAATTTTGCAAAAGGGTTTTCTCACAAGATTTTGCTGTGAGGGCAGAAATTTGAGTTGCACACGAACATCTTCCTTACGCTCTTTGACTCAAGACATTTGAGGCTAGTGGCAACGAGCTGCTAATATACACTTGCTAGCTAACTTGTTAAAAAGGTCTTAAGAAGTCTTAAATTTGACTTGCTGAATCCTGCAGATATTCTATATTATATTTATCATCATTATTTTTCTCACTGCTAATGGTGACGTCATGCTCATTTATCACATAATATCCCCTATGAAGAAGGATTTGAAGTTTGTGTTTGTATTATGACAATATGTGAAAAGTCCAAGGGATGTAAATACTTTTCCAAGGTCCTGCATAGTAAATATTCACTGAGCTATTTTAGTTTTTTTGGACATGTCCTCATCTCATCAGGATTCCTGATGGAACCTGAAAGTCACAGCTTTGTTCCTGCTGAAGCTTCTTTATTCTCATATTGACTTATCGTATGGAGAAAGTAAAAGTAAAGCCCTGAAATGTCTGAAGAATTTCACGCTGTCGCTTGACAAATTGAGAGCTGCACAGGATTTCAGGCCCTGATCCTGCAACCTGCCTCGCTGCAAATGCTCGGAAAGTTCTCAGCCTTTTCCTGTCGCACACAGTTAAAATGTAGACATAAGAAGGAATTCAGTGGATCTACTCGTGAAACGTTGCCAATCTTATACGGATCGGTTTTCTGGGATTTCACCAAAAGTGATGTAATAAGTATAAAACATCTTTGCCTTTCAGGTGTTATGGGATTTACGTTTCCTATCTGCTTTCACCCAGGTGGTGCCGGCAGGTTCAGCACCGAGCCAGGAGAGTGGCGGCTCAAGCCCTGGTGAAAGTGGCGGCGAGTCGGGCTCTGAGGGCAAAACGTATCGGTCCAAAGAGCAGCTGATGCTCCGAGCCAACAGCCTGAAGAAAGCCCTGAGGCAGATCATCGAACAGGCTGAGAAAGGTAGCTCCCCCCTCCGCTGCTGCTTTAATTCAAAAAGCTTTGAGCGACTCACTGACTGAGCTTTGTCGTTTCAGTGGTTGACGAGCAGAACAGACACACGCAGGTCCAGAGGATGCCGTCTTCATCCTCCATCACCAGGGATAACAGTGAGGAGCTGAAGGATGCCGACACACGTAGGTGTCAGATTAGGCTCACCAGGGACCCTGGGTGAATGGATAAGTCCTAGTGATGTAAAAAAAAAATCAACCTAGGATTAATTGTCATTTAACGTTTTATTAGATTAGAATTTGTTCCAATCGATTTAAGTAATAACGTCCACTTAGACCTTCCAGCAGAGCAAACAGCTGGTCATCCCTAAGCGAAGGCAGTTGATAAATGAACAAATATGGCAGAGAGATCCCAGAATGGGAAAGAGAAACGGTCCAAACTGAGTCTGGATTGGGATGCAAAATGCTATTTATGTGGTTCTGTTTAAAATTATAAAGACTCAATAAGTCTTTACCTTTCACTTTAAAAGCGCTCAATCAGCTGAGCTGCAGGGCGGAGCTGCATCAACTTCTCCAATAACGCAAAAAATGTGAAGCGTGACTTAAAGCCCTTTATGTCCTAAATTTAAAATTACCGCCTGGATATTTTTGCTTATTTTAATTGTATGCAGTTCTTTAAATGTCCTGTGAGTAAACATATTTGCCTACTTGTCCATAACAACAACCCTCAGGTTAATTTTACTCCCTGCTGTGGCGGGGGAGAAGTTACCGTACTAACCCGATATTGGCTGGAAAGCGCAACGTCTTTCAGAAACTGTTAGAATTTTTCAGATAACGCAAAGTGTCGAGGAATTACGGTACTGCAAATTTGGCTGGATCACTGGCACTCTGTTTAGAGTTTTAAAAAAAACAACATTCCAATAAACACAATTGATTTTGAGAAAAATATGTCAGTATTCTTTCAAGAGCAACCACAAATATCTCTCTATTCATGAGGAGTTAAAGGTTTCTCACCTTTCATTTGTCTATTCAGCAACTTAAGATGCTCCCACTTTGTTATAGTTTATGAACATGTTCAAATTTAATAATGTGACAAAAACATAATTTTCTCCTTATTCCATTAGTATTTCACAAGCTGACACAAAATGTTAAAATTTTGTGTATATTTTTATTTTAAATCAGCATATTCTGAAAAATTTTACCTAAAATTTTAAAGAAAATTAACGCTCACCAATTAATCAGTGGATCGATCAATCAACTTTAGACAAATTCAATAATGGATCTCTTGCGGTCCTAATAAGTCCAGAAATGTTCAGCCAGGATAAAATCAGGTGTGATTATTGTGTGCAGGAGGTTTGAGTCCCACTTCGCCCATCGTCCTGGAGAAAACAGAAAGTCTGAACGCGGTCAGCTTCAACGAGGACATGGTGTAAGTTCATCACAAGCTCCGCCTCTAATGGGTTTTACACAAAGAAACCAACACAAAGTAGCAACAATATTCATTACAAAACAGAAGCTTGACTTCTGAAAGGAAATATTTTATATAGTTGTATGAAATGGAGCTTGATGCAAATTCTATTTGTGAAACATTTTGAAAAACCTCCTTTAGCTATTCACTACTTTGTGTTCTTCACATAAAGCCCCATGAAAGTAAACAAATGTTTGCATTTTAAGGTGATAAAATGTGGTATGGATTAACTAAAAACCTGCATGTTTCTCTAGTCAGTGCACAGAGAAGTGTGTGATGAATAACTACTTCGGCATCGGACTGGACGCCAAAATTTCTCTCGAGTTCAACAACAAGAGGGACGAGCATCCCAAAAAATGCAGGTACGAAGCGAAGACTGATCACTTTGCAGTCAAATCGACTCCAGTTGTGTCGTTTTCTAGCATAAACTCACAAATGTTCAAACTCAAATTTGAACAAACAAGTCAGTTTTTCTTCATTTTATTACTTCCTTCTATTCAGCAGTTGTTTTGTTGAGGTTTTAAGTTGTTACTGCCTCCAGATTGATGGTATAATCCTTCTAACACAGATTCAAAGGATATCTGATGTTTAAACCAGATAACTTCAGTAAATGTAAATTTGAATGCTCGTCTCTTGACTTCTCAATCCGCAGTAGTCGCACCAAAAACATGATGTGGTACGGCGTCCTCGGGACCAAAGAGCTGGTCCAGAAGACTTACAAGAACCTGGAGCAGAGAGTCCAGTTGGAGGTCAGACAGACGCAGCTCATCGTAACGTCTTATGAGCAGAATCACAGGTTTAGCTGCTTCCGTCAGCCCCTGTCATCCTGAACTCTTCTTCTCCTTCCACAGTGTGACGGCGTGGCCATGCCGCTGCCGAGCCTGCAGGGCCTGGCGGTTCTCAACATTTCCAGCTATGCAGGAGGAATCAACTTCTGGGGAGGAACCAAAGAGGACAATGTGAGCAATCGGCTTCCACGCCTTCGAAACGGAAGAAATGCCCAGGAAGATTAGAGACACAGAGCTGCAGCAAACATCTTAGTACACTTGAAATAAGAGAAAACTAACAAGTAGCATTAGCAAGACATGACAGCTTGCTTTAAGTGAATAATCTCTTAACATTGATGAAAAGTACCAGCCAGAAATGAAATAATCTGATAACAAGACATCTTAACTCAAAGAATAGGGGAAAAAGTATTTTTCCACTGGCAGATTATTTCACTTGTAACTAGTACTTTTCATCAATATTAAGAAATTAGTGAAATAAAAAAGATTCTACATTTTCAAGTTTACTCATATATTTGCGCTAAATATGTTGTATATGTTTTGTTTTTGCATTGTACTGGTTTTAGCCCGTTCCTGTTTCAGAAGGTTCCTCTGGCTTCATTTTTCAAAAACAGCCACTGACAGCGAAAGCAGCACCACTTCTGAAAACGGAATAATTTTGTGTCTTCAGAACTTTGGAGCGCCGTCGTTCGACGACAAGAAGCTGGAGGTGGTGGCGGTGTTTGGGAGCATGCAGATGGCCATGTCCAGAGTCATCAACCTGCAGCACCACCGCATCGCTCAGGTAACCCAGGCTCAAAATACACCTTTCCTGTGCACATGATGCCGAGCTGGAAAGGGTTTTCTGCAGCAGGGATCCTGTAAATTTAGCTACAAAATGAAGTCTGTGAACAGGGAACAAGAAAAAATCACCAGCAAAAGGTTCAATTTCAAAGATCCACAATAAAATTTTACTGCAATTAATTTGATTGTATGATTTTGAACAAAAGTGCATCTTAAAAAATGTTGGAATACTGTAGGCTAGAAAAAATTAATCAGATTAATTGTGATTAAGCGATAATTGAAATAATCCATGGCTAAATTAGTAATCGATGAATCGTTCACTGGAGGAATGATTCAAGAAAAGGTGCTTTTGCATTCAAGATGAAAAAAAGTACCATAACATTATGTTAAAGAAAAATACTCTGAGTTGAATTATTTATTGTATTTTTTTTTATGTATTTCTGACATTGTAAAGAGAATGCTCACAATGAAAATCTGCATGATGTGCTAATTTCTTTACCCGATTAATCAATTAATCGTCTGAATAATCGATTACTAAAATAATAAATAATTGCAGCTCGGACCTACTGCCAGTTTCAGTATGGAAAAGCCTCATGCTGCATCTCTAAATGTTGGCTCATGGGATCTGTGGTCAGTGTGTGTTCAAGGCGCAGGTGAGAGACCTTGTCCGTGTTGCTCTCAGTGTCGGCAGGTGAAGATCACCATCCTGGGCGACGAGGGCGTCCCGGTGCAGGTGGATGGGGAAGCCTGGAAACAGCCGCCCGGCATCGTCAAGATTGTGCACAAGAACCGTGCTCAGATGCTCACCAGAGACAGGGTGAGCTCCCACATCCAGATACACTAAAACATATTAGCATTTCTGTAAAAAGAAGACAGCTTGACAGAGTGTGGCCCGAAATACTTCTCCTCTCAGGAGTCTGCAGCTGGATATCGTCCTCAGTCCGCTGCTCATGTTGTTGACTCTTTCTTTCTATTTCAGGACTCCTTAAATCAAATCCTTCCTCTCTGTGTTTGATCTCTCTTCACGTTGCTCAAACCTTTGAGAGCTCTCTCGAGCCGAACCTCGTTTGTTTCCATGGTTTTCTTTGCCGCTCAGGGAAAAGTGTGTTTGCTCGCTGGTTATTCCCCTTAAACGCGACCTGGATGCAGAGAAATAATGAGACACCGAAAGGCTTTATGAATGTTAAGCAAAAAAAAAAGATGTGGATGGGTAAACACGGGTAAATAAAATCATAGGAAGTGTTATCCCATCACTAAAGACAAGAAATCGCAGCTTATGGAGGGAATGTCTTTTCAAAATATTGAAGATCAGTTCTGTCGTTTGTTTCTGTGCGGTCAGGCGTTTGAAAGCACGCTGAAGTCGTGGGAGGACAAGAGGAAGATCGACAGCTACCGCGCCGCCAGGCCGCGCCTCAACTCCCAGCAGTCCATGGAGTACCTCACCGAGGAGGAGTGCGCCCAGGTGCAGCAGCTGGGCATCGTGGCCGACACGCTCATCAATAAGTACGCTCCGTGAGCTTCCAGCGTCTTTACTCTAACCAGTCGTGTTGTTTTAATTAGCAATCATGACTTTGCCCCCCCGACCCCCCCCCACTCCTCCGCTTTAGAATCCGCGAGGCGGCGAAGACCCACAAGCTGGTGGAGCAGGAGCTCGCCCACGCCGTGAACGCCACCGCCCTGGTGCTCACCGAGACCAAGGTGTCCAGCAACGAGGTGAGACCGCGACGCAGCTGGCCGCTTGGAGAGGGGACAGATTGTGACTCTCGGGTCAAACTGCAGCCTGTCAACCTCGCTGGTTTTGTGAACGCAGCGATTTCCAAACATTTGTTGAGTTTGGAAACGTAACAGTTGGAAACAGTGATTTATTATTATTATTCAGAGGTTGTTTCATGTGTTTCAGTGTCTGAGCCGCAGCACGGCGGTGGAGATCGTCAACAGCAGTAAAGTCCTCCAGGCAGAGACCAGCATGCTGCTGGACGGAAAGCTCCTGGTAAAAGTTCAGCTCCATCACAGAGCTCTCTCTGTTTCTATTTGAACTCTAACCCTGAAGCTTCATCTGTGGACGTGTGCCTTTCCAAACAATAGCACTTTGTGTCAGGACTATTTCTTTGCAGCTAAAGGCCAATAGTTGATAGTGTATTTTATGATGCATTAGTTTCCGCTTCAGTGATCAGTGCGTATTTAATCCACAAGAAAGTGGCCTTTAGACAGCTGTCCACTGTAGTGACCACCATGCCTGTTTTTCATTGAAAACTCATAAACATCTATTTATTCAGAAGATGTTGACCTTTTTAGACGGAGCAAGTGATCCAGCGTCTCTTCTTCTCTTTCAGGCGGATTTTCCCGAGGAGGAAGAGCTGCGATTGACCCTGAACAACCTGAGCGCCGAGCTGCTGAAGCTGGACGACATCCACTGGATCTGTCCGCTCATGCAGTGCTCCGAGGAGGTACGCGCCGTCGCAGGCCGCTCGGTCCTGAACCAGCCTGTCGGGGTGAGGGGAGAAGCTCTGAGAGTGTATCGACTCGTCCCACTGTTTGTTTTCGTAGGACTCTGTGCGGAGCAGCAGTAAAGGCACCAGCAGCATGAAGCTGAAGATTATTCCCAAAACGAAGAAGGAGAAGGAGAAGCTCCACAAGCAGAAGTCCAACAGTTCTCTCTCAGGTAAAAAGCTCAAGGTTTTCGAGAAAAGTGTTTGGCTCTGGTGTTTTCCAGGTCAGATTACGTCTATGGAAGAAAACGGATAATTAAAGGAACATTTATAAGATTTAATCTCCTTAATTGTTACTGTTTGTAACTTTTAACACAAAGCTCTTGTTTCCCAAGCAATATTCAAAACAGATCTGCAAAAAGTGAAGCAAACACAACTTAAAAGGAACTGAAATAATAAAACCGTAGATGGAAAAATGTTTGAGTTATGACTTAATGGAGCAAACCTTACAGTGAGATAAAACTATCTAAGCCTTGTTCTGCATTTAAAAGAAATGTGAAAAATCATTATGATGAAGCAACAGTGAATAAACTGATTTGTTGTGTATTATTAGTGTATTTGAAATGTGTCTGTAATTCTTTGCTAATTTTCTTTTTATATGATTGTGGACAGATTTCCCACGTTTGTGTTCTTGTGCTATAATTGACGTCGTTTTCCGTGCTTCCTGCAGGAACGTGGGATCTTAAAAGTGGAGCCACTGAGGCCGATTCCTCAGTCAACTGAACACCTGCGCCTCGCTTTACTGCCCCCCTCCAACAGGAGAGGGCGCGACCCCCTCTCACCCGCTTCCTGTCCGGTCATGAGGCCCCTCGGTTTCCCAGCGGTATCACAAACTGAAGTAATGCCTCCTTCCCGACTTTTAAGCATTTTGTTCTATTTTACTTCGTCGTCAGTTTTTTTTTTTTTTTTTTGCAAACCAGCACAGGTATTTCCTCCACCCCAATTTTATGTGTTTTTAAAAAGCGGGGCCTGTTTCTACGTGGCATTGCTTCCCTGCCGCCATTTTGCTTATATTTCTGAGTCCAAGGCAAAGAGAGGAACCATGCAGGTAGGGGGAAAGCAAGAAAATGTGTTTACGTGGTGCTCACCTCGCATGTCAGGTGTAAACCTTAGTTTTTATCCTAAGTTGTTACAATCTAGGTTGTTTTTTTTTTTCCTCTTTATATGACGAGCCTTCGGACTGCATATTTATTTCTCGTTGCTACTGCCAGGAGAACTCCCGACGGCAACAAAATCAACAGAATTGAACAAACTGAGATGTCTCAGCTTTATCGTCTGCTGAACTGAAAAATATCTTCAATGTTGCAAAAAAAAAACCCAACAAAAACAAACAAAAATATTCAAAGGAATGTACTTGTGTGGACTTTTAATAACCTGTGAATTACGATGCTGTTCAGTTCGGCTCCGCGGCGGTTCTGTTGTCGTCCTTTCAAAGTGGTTCTTCAGTGGACAAAAAAAACGAGAAAACAAAACAAAAACAAAAAGAACAAGCGTGAGCGAGTCATTTTGCGACTCTCCCCCCGCTGTGCGTGTTCTACACTTGAATTCAGAACCGTCGTGAGGAGCAGCGAAGTGACGCGGTGAGGTCGATCTTTTTCTGCCATTGTCTGGTGACGGTGTTTACAGGAGGAGGAAGCATCAAGGACACTTTGATGCGTCTCAGCAGCTTCTCAGTGTGTTGCTCTTACTTTGTCATACTACATGATTGTATACTAAATATAAGAATAAGACCTAATATGTATTAGATTTTTTTTTGCCTTGTCTGTGGTTAAGAGCTATTATTATTATGGCAAATATATATCTATTTTTTTGTATACCTTATTTTCCTAAATGGTAATCTGTGAAGCTGTCCTGGCTTTGCTGCTTCCCCCTTTGGAAAGTCCAATCACACATGTAGACGCCGTTCTGAGTTCCTGCATGCACGCCATGCCTTTCTTCGCCTCACAGTGGAAATCGCCTCAGAGTGGCACATTTCAAGCTTGCTTGTTTGTGAATGCCGCACTGGTTTTTGATAATACATAGAAGGACCATTGTTGAACAAGTTTCTATTCTAAGTAAATATTTTTTGAGCTTCTGTTGACCAGAGCATACTCGCTATTTGGCTTAAATTACTAAAATATTCCTGATTACCACTTAAAAATGACGTTTTCGTGTGAGATTAATTTTTTTGGACAAACAAAATACTAAGTTACTTTAAATTTACTCACTGTTTAAGTTCTAAAAATGATACATCGTTGCTGTTTTTCCAATACGAAAACGACGAGTATTTAACGTGATTTGTCAGACTATCAGCTAGCCTGCATCTGGCTGCTTTACAGAGATTACCTGTTAACGGCTAGCTTACATCATGTGTGTGCTGGTAGACCCTAGATCATGTTGTATAGACTTTGATATTGAGTGGAAAGTAAAATAAACTGCAAGGTATGAATTGGCTAATTCGGCACTTTCTGCCATATTTTATTTAAAGTTTAAATATGTTGGATTTTTTGGGAGGTTCTTTTTGTTTAAGTAAAACTATAGATAGTTGTTGAAGGAGTAACATGAACATTTTAGACGTGATAACGTACTGATAAGTTTAACGGCTAAATAGAATGAGCTCATTTAACTCACAAGCTAGCTTAAAGCGAGGCACAAAATTAGTCGTTCAATTTTTTTTTCTTATTTAACTTACGCTGATTTAAGTGGTTAAATTCTGGATTCATAAACTTAACAAACTGTTAAGTTTTTTTTCTGCTCCAAGCTTAAAAGTCACATACATTAGCTATACTAGTAGCATTTCCGCTAGGCTGCTGGTGAAAACAAACACAAAAAAAAAACAGCTATTGATTTTGGTTTCTTGTTTGGATGAGTCAGGGAAGTTGTCACTGTGAGGCGCTGTAGATGTTCAGCTGTGGTAGGATTGTGCTACTGTATCCATAGTGTGCCAGCTACACGCTCAAAACCTTAGAGGCTTTAGTGGTTGTTGTGCCAAGTCTGTACTTTGGGTTTAAGACTTAACGGAGTGTGTGTGTGCGTGTGTGTGTGCGTGTGTGTGTGCGTCCGTATGAGTGTGTGTGAAAGCGTGTGTGTGCGAGCTTTTGACACGCTTCAGATGCAAAAGTCACTGCGTGTCATACATTTCAAAGTTTACTGTATCTTTGCCTTGCACTTTACGACGACGCAAACTTAATAGGAAAAAAACATCGACAAACATTTGCATATGTGCGCATGTTGAAATTTTGAGTGAATTTCTTTTTTTTAAAAATTGATTTGATGAAAAGATATTTAAAGATATTGTACATGGATACAAATGTGCTGGTAAAATGTAATATCTAACCAATCATAAAGCGTATATAAATACAGATGTAAAAACCAAGGTTTATTACGTTGGTGGTTTTAAATGATGTGATGATGTCCTCGCGCCTGCCGCAGTGTAAAACATGTTGAAAACTGTAATTATTCTGAAAATCTTAAGTCAACATATTGAAACTGTCCAGTGTTATTTATGGATTACCAATGACTCGTTTACACAGCCGAGGTGTTCAGCCGCTGTCGAGCCAATATTTGAGTGCTTTTCAGTTTTTTCAGTTTGATGACAATATGCTGTACTGAAAACGATGACCAAGATGTTGAGGTATGAAAGCCATTTTGTTAAAAAAAACAAACAAAAAAAAAATGGTTGCCTGTTTGTTTTTTAAGGATCATTTTATTGACTGTCTTTTGGATTTTCTTTTCAAAGATTGTCATTTCTTTTCTAGATTTTGTGTAAGTTGTTTTAAAAATGCAAAAACGGGGATTCGGATGGAAACTCTTCCGATCGCTGGAGCTGCAGTGAAAATGCCGGCGGAGCAAATCTGCAGATTGAAAAGGTTTAACGGCGTTGGTGCAGCAGAGACTGTGCAGCAAGCCAGACTAGATGTTGCACGACCTTGAGGTGTTTTTATGTGCTATCATGTGCGGTGTATAAGAAACACAAAGTCAGTGCAACCCTCCGGAGATTAAATGACTTATTGAAGTGTGATGGATTCTGTCTTTTTGTCTTGTTGAATTTTGCACAATTTAAAGTGACAAGAACTTTTTTTTTTTTTTGCTTTCAATCATAAAGATAAAGACTTTATGTACATGAATGTACCTCATGTTTAAAAGGTTTAGCTAGCTACTCCAATATTTATGTATTGCTCTCATATTGTGAGCATCAATTTTCAAGCATGGCCACAGATTTTAAGTTATATTTACATAGAGAAATCGGGGATATTCTGAAATATGAACATACTTTAATCCAAATCTGTGGCCCTCTTAGCTTTTCTGATTAACGTCAAACAACCGAAACCGGAAACAATTTTTTGTATTGTTAAAGCTTTAAACACATCCCTGTAGAGAACCACTCCTACTCCGCGTCACTAAGCCGTTTGTCACCAGTTTTTGTTTAAATTGAGCTTTTGCTATACAGCGTCCGAACATCTTTGTCAAGCCCAAACACCAGCAGCGCCGGGTAGGTTGGACCCACAGATGCACCTTTACTGATGACAACAATGTGCTGACACACAATCCAAGCATGACTCAGCAGCAGCACATCTTAAGTGCTTGCTTTACAAATAAAGGACATTGAGCTTCCAGCTTCTTCGCATCGTTTCACTCTTTCCACTCTGCGCTCAGATATGGATCGTAAAGTCTCACTTCTCTGTTTCAAAACTGTCATGTTTAATGCTTTACTAACTTATGAAAATGTTGTGCATGTAAAAAATGACTTAAAAGAAACGTGAGATAGTCCTGTCTATAAGAAGCTTCCGTCATACTTCTCCATGATGCCGTTTACATCCATTCTTAGAGCGTCGTAGTTTGTATGATGAGCCCAACAGGTGTTTGCTAATCGCTGCTGCCACTAGTTTGTAGGTGAGGGTTGAGAGCTTTGGATGATAGGCGGCACTTTTCATGCGCAAGCGTTTAGGCACCCCCGAATGGTTGCCATGGAGGATGCAAGGATTTCTCAGACGTCCGAGAAAGAATCAAAGCATCAGATCCAGGTGTGTTTTCTGCTGAGGGAATAACAGAATAATGTGATATAAATCTGAAGAGACAGTTTTGCATCATAACCTCCCTAAATATTTAAATAATTAGCTTCATATTTGACTAAATAAACATATAACACACGTCCTGAATATCGCTTCACCTGAACATTTCACCAAAGGTTTACAGGCTTTTCAGCTAAATGACAGAATATTAACAATTTTTGTTGTAGCTAAATAATGTCTTGCTGTTCAGCTTCGTTTTCTAACGTGTAGCTATGGAATCGTTCAACAGCTGCTCACTCATGCACAGAACGACATTAACGTTCACTACACTCTTATTTTAATTAGCTTTAGTTTGTCCAACATAACTAAGAATACTAAAGAACTTTATGCAGAGAAACAGACATAAAAAAAAAGATTTATTGCTATAATTATGTATTTTGCATAATCAAAAGATTTCAACAGGCTCATCTCCTCTGATATGATATAAAGTTACTGCAGGAAAATGAGAGTATTTAGTGTTGGTTGCTAAAAAGAAGGGAAATTCTGTTTGTTTTTTTTCACATCACTCCACGTCAGCATTGTGATCTTCCAGGTCTGGCATGTCTTCATATCCTTCCTGTTCCTCCTCCCTCCGTTGCTCCTCCAGCTCCCTCCTCTGCTCCTCCGCCCTCTTCTGCTCCTGCATCAGCCTCTTCATCTCTTCCTCCACCTCCTTCCTTTTTAAATTCTGCACCTCCTGCTCTTCCCTCCTCTTCCTCAGCTCTTCACTCTTGCCCCCTTGGTTCTTGTTCTCCGGCGTGTCGTAGGCCCACTCCTCGTCCGAGTCGCTGATGTCGTCGTCGGCGATGTCCCAGTCGGGCTGCTGGGACTCCTGGTTGCCATTGACGTCGTCGATGACGACGGGCTCCGGCTCTGGCTTGTAGTTCGGGTCCTCCAGTTTGCCCCAGGACATCTGGTTGGCCTTACGGAGGGTGATCTCCACTTTAGACGGGACCATGTTGACCCAACTCTGTTTGGTGTCGATCACCTGAAAAATTATTACAAAACAGATAAGTTTCGAGTTAAAGAATCGGTTGCCTGTGCAACTACAACTTCGTCAAAGGTTGCTGGTGATACTTTCCCCCCAGAAGTGAAATTCTCTCTTGAAAATCTTGTTCTCAAACTGGATTTGACATAAAAGCTGCAAGACATGAAGCAGAAGTGAAACTCCATAAAAGTTCATGGATCTGATTTCATGAATAATTATGGGCTTTTTTTTATTTTATTTTTGTCACATCTGGATCAACACTGAATGATCGTTCCTGCTGCTCACCACTGTTGGATTCGCTTCTATGCTGCAGAAATCGGGATCTGAGTTCTTGGCGTAAATTGTCACCACGACCGTGTTTGCGGTTTGGTGCCAGTCGTGTCGACATGCCACTTTCTTCTTATCCTGAGAACATAAATAAAAACCAACAATTATTCATGGAGAGACGGAGCTTCTGCCTGTTTCCGCTCAGATGTAGGTGGTGTGTGTACCTGCTTTGCAACCCAGCGGTGTTTCCCCGTGGTGCAGCCCTTCTGGTCCAGGAACGCGTTGAAGTCTGTCGTCTTTATGCAGCAGCAGCTCCAGTATTTGTACCTAGATAAAGAAATCGTCGCAGTTGTTTGAGCTGGAGCAGGAAGAAGACCAGAAACAGCGACGCTCTGACAATTCGCTTCCTCAAAGACTCATGTATCTAAAATTAAGGCATTAAAATCCCTAAAATCAATTTTTAAAAATCAAGCTGGCCTTTAATGTGTTGATTATGGGTCTTAAATTTACTTTTTTTTCTCTTAGAATGTTTCTGTCAAAGAAACTTTTAGTTACTCACAAACATCTTAATTGCATTCTTTGACTTGAGATGGTTGAGGTTACTGCCAATTAGCTGCTGATTAGCCAGCTGTTCTTTTGCACCTATCAACAGATGCAGTTGGCTTCCTGAATACAGAAATGCCTTGCTGCTGAAATGTGCCATACAAATAAATCAATAAAATAAAAGTCGTTCATAATGATCTTCAAAGGTCTTAAATTTAAGTTGGTGGAACTTGTGGAAATGTTTGTTTCCCATTTCAGCTGCTGAACCCTCACACTGCTAACGCTGCTTTATGGGAGTCATGCAAATATTATGATGTTGGAATAACGGATCAGCAGTGAATTCCTTCCTTCTTACCCCTCATGGAAGACGGGGGCTCCAGGGTGGTGGGTGCAGACCTCCATGTCTGTGTCTGGGCCTTCATAGATCTGAACAGACGGATGAGATGCTATTGATCAGAGATGCTTTGATCAATGAATCCTGAGTCACAGGATTAGGAGTGCCTGTCTGAATCTTGAGACTTACGAAATTTCTGATCCAGATGTGCATTTTTAAACCTTTGCATAAACCTTAAAATCTTACATATCTAGGCCTGTGCATTTCCAGTTGTCTACTTTCTAACAAGCAAATGTCACTGAAAGAAGTTGCTGTTAGCAGATATGTCCACTAGATGGAGCAATTAAACCTTACAGGTTCAAATGCCTCAGGAAGAAAGTTGAAGCACAGCAGTGTTTGTGTTTTTCTGCATTTACCGGGACCTGCTTGTGCTTTTGGTAAATGCGTTTTAACTATTAATACGCCTTTTTGTTGATTAGCTGAGAGGAAAAATGTAGATAAAATCATCCCTGTGCATGAAATAAGTTTCCTTCCACAGACGGGTTGAACTTTTCACGTTTTCTTTACGTCACAACCAGAAACCTCACTGCGTTTTAGAGATTTAAGTGGCTCAAAACTGTCATTATAAGAGCGATTAATGGGTTTGATTTTGTGTTTTACAAATGGTACAAAACTTTGTAAAACCACCTCTGTCTAGAAGTACTCCAGACCTGAGGCCTCACATTTGGTCTGGTCTCGGTTTCATACATTCACGACTGCATACATTTTATTTCAATACGGGGAAATAAAACTAAATTGTCAGAACATTTTTACATTTATGTACTAGTATGCTTTCTTTCATGGAGATTAATGAAAAATCAAAAGAAAAAGTGCAGATTCATATACAAGCAATAGCGTGACTCAATGCTAATATCTTTTTGTCGCCGCTGTCACTATCTCCATGGGAGGAAATCAATACAGTTTTATATAATTATGTGATAATTATATAATATACATATCAATGGTCTCAGTTCCTAAAAGGCTTGTCTTGGTCTTGACTACAATACAACTAGAGACTGAAATTTAAACAGAGCTCAGTAACAGCAGGTTATATGCAGACATTGCCTTGGTATTTAATTAAAATAATTCAAGTATAGTTAATTGAAAACAGGAAGCCTTAATGTGAAATGACTGCATTCTGCAGTTCTTGCAGTTCCCTCCCATGTGCAGACATCAGCCACCGCTGCAGATAATGAATTTCTCAGCTTTTGCTGATGTCAGATCAGAGACTATTTTGGGCCTGGGCAGGAATGCCAGAGACGCCAGCTAAACACACACACACACACACACACACACACACACACACTGAAACACACCAGACACTCACTGTTTTGCAGCCTGTGTTCTTGCAGCGCGTCCCGTGCATCACGACCTCACTGTCTGTGACACGAAACAAAGACAGAGAGACGAGTGAGGACTGTTTCATTCCAGTTCGTCTTTGAGAAAAAAGATGCAGGGATCTTTCAGCACACAGGTACAGAATAATAAAGAGTTGGGTTTATGTATAGTTAAACAGGAAGGATAGGACTGAACTAAACTGTTGAATTACATAAATGGTGTGGCGCACATTTGTATTCGGCCGCTGCAAATAAAGTCTGAAGCAAATGATTACCTTCCGACGGCAACTGATTGGTCATTGTGGGTGTAATTTAGTCTTGACTTAAATGCAGCTGTTCGGTCAAGACCTCAGAGGTTTGATAGAAAACAAACAGCAGCCATTTTGCCCTGGATTTGGCTAAAGGAAGTCGTTTAGAGCCACATATGTTTGTTTCTCTTTAGCAGAATATAACTTACTATATTAAACTTCACAATTATTCATTAGTTTGTGTTGCTCGATCAAAAACTATGTAGCTGTAGAGAGAAATGTAGAAATAAAATACAGATACCAGAGGAACAAACTTTAGAAAGCTTTAAAAAATAACTTTTTATTTTGCTTTTTAAGGCTATTACAAATGAAATTTAAGACCTGTATCAAAACAGAAACGTAAAAGAAAACTGCTTGTTTTTTCCTAGCTTATCTCCTCACAATGCTCATCATTGGCAGCAGAAGTGAACCGGTGGCAAAGACAAACGTTGTAGAGCAAACCGGCGATAAATTTACCCTTTCTAGTTAGCGCTAGCCTCAACAGCCTCACCTGTTGTAATAAAGTCCTGTCATGAGAAAATGTAGGACCTTTGATGAAAGGTCACAATGATTTTAAGACATTTTAAGGCCTTAATTAGATTTTTTTTTTTTTTTACACTGTGCTCTAAAACTTGAGCAGAGATTTGGATTCAATCAACGTTACCATGATGATCCTCATTCCTTTAAAAGAAATGCAGCTGAGAAATTGAAACGCTGCTTAACTCTTTATCTCTGTTGTGACAGCCCATGTTTTCAGGCTGAAATGTGGATTTTTGCTCCCGGTTCTCTTGAGGAGGAGGACTGACCTTTCTTCTCGCTCTCTGCGCTCCTGTTCAGTCCCAGTTTCTCCAGCGCCTGAATGAGAGACGCTGACACTTTGTGGGGTAACTTGGTCATGGGCTGGTCTGAGCTGTATAGACACACACACAGTCACGTTTTCATCACTTGTGGGGACTTCACATTGACTTCCATTCATTTCTACAGCCTAACCCTTACCACAACCTTTACCCTAAACCTAACTATCACAGACGGAACCACTAACCCAAAAACAACAATTTCCCTCATGAGGACCAAGGAAATGTCCCCACAACAGAAATAGGTTCCCATAAGGACATAAAAACCTGGTACACACACACACACTTCTCTTAACAGCAAAATATACATCAGGATAGGCTGACTAAGAATTATTTATTACTCTACGTACGCTGCAGCCGACCTCACCCTGACCTGTCTGGATGCAGGGTGGAAGCTCCATGCCTCACCTGGGTCTCTCTTTCTGCAGCACCTCGGCAGATTTGGGGCCCTGGTAGATGATCTCCCGGTCGCTGGCGGGTTTTGCCTCGCTCTTATCTGACGACACCTCGGGCCTCAGAGGCTCCTGGGGCTTCACGTCACTGTGGCGCCCACGGGTGCAGCCCTGTGGGTGAGCGCATCCGTGTTAGCAATAGTTAGCAGTTCTTTTTTTTTTCTTCAGCCAAACTTGAAATGTTTCAATCCGACGTTAACATATAAAAACGATTAATGACTGATTTCTTCTGCCATGACGTCACATATGCTGTAGCTTCAATCCTTGGTGAATGTAAGTCATTTGAAAATATAATAATTGTTTTCCAAAAGACCAGGGAAAAGTGATAAGACCTGTGTCAAACAAACAAAACAAAAAAATCTACTTAATACAGGCTTTATGTTTGTTTCTTTTCATTTTTTTCTTGTCTTGTTCATTACAGAAACAAGATAAGTATATAAGATCTCATAGGCTATACATTTAAAATATTTTGATTGATTAAAAATATTCATTGTGAAATAATTTAAAAGGATGAAAAAGCCCATTTAAAAATGGTTTGAAGAAATACATTTAATGTTGCAAAAGCAGCAAATGTGTCGGCGCAAACGTAGCTGTTTTTTGTCTTCTGACTCTTTGAGTCAGTTTTAATCAGCAGTTTTGTCTCTTATTTCCATTTAATGCCATAAAAACATAAAAATGCAGGGTTTGTTTGTTTTGTTTTTTTTGTCGATTTTCACAAATAAAATAAAGACTCTGTTCAGGGATGAATGAACCGTTTTAGCTTTGACCAGCATTAATGTTTCACATTTTCAACTTAAGATCATCAAAGATTCCAGATTCCTAACCCTTAAATTTAGTTGGTTTAATTTAGTTTGTTCACTAACAATTATTTCTTTAAATGTTTCTTAGTGTTTTTTGTTTTGACGCATGAAGCTGCATGACGTCTTTTTTTATTTTTTAGAATAATCCATGTTTCACCGGAGCGTCCGGTTCATTTCATTGCCGACTGGATAGTCAAAAATGTTTTTCTTTCACTTCTTTTTACATGAAACAGTTTTTCTCCAGCGGATTTTTTTTTTCTCTCTTTTTCTCCATCTGCTTGATTAAAGTTTAATCAAAAGGAGCCGAATATCTCCTGGTAGCTTCCCTTGCTCACTCTCCAAATACTCCTTAAATAAAATGTGTGTTTTATTATTTGCTACCTTGATGGAGAGAAACTCTGAGAAGTCTGTCGTCCTCTTCTTGCAGCAGGACCAACCCTGAAAACAGACACACATTCGTGGAGCGATGCTGTTCACGTTCTGGACCAACAGCGCGGACCTGGAGACCGGCTCACCTTCAGGGCGTCATGGAAGATGGGGACTCCTGGATGGAAGAGGCAGGAATCTGTTGTTGGGGAGGGAAGACAAACTTATTTGTAGAAGGCCGTTCAGATCATAAAAACGTCATGCAGTCACCAATTATGAAACAAGCAATGAACATTACATTTTGTCATCATCAAAATCATAAAGCATATACACCTGGAAAATGTTAATCAATGTTTCAGGTGGGTTTTTAGCCTGGATTTAAAGGAACTCAGTGTTTCAGCAGCTTTGAGGTTTTAAATAAGTTTGTTTCAGAAACAGCTACAAGCAGGGAAAGGAAATGTTAGCCTGCATATGGTTCCCCACACAGTCAGCAGGACCCAACAGCTGTTCACACACACATACCCACACACACACACACACACCCTCAAACACACACACACACACACACACACACACACACACACACACACACA